CCTATCCTTTTAGCATACCTAATATTATACTCATTTATGTAGGTTTCTAAATCTTTTAATTTCTCTATTTTCTGTTTTTTTTTCTCCGCCTTTTCCTCCTTTTTTTTTTGTTTAATTTCTTTTTTCTCATTTGCCTTTTTCTCGTATTTCTCTTTAATTTGTCTCTTATCCTCTAATATTATGTTTTCGTACTTATTCCAAATTACGTATTCTCCGATAGTATAAAAAATTTGTGATAAACAAGTAATCATTATTGTAAGAAATATTAAAGAGTCTAATGATTTATTCATTCTATAGGTAGAATTACTGTACTTGTGCGTAAAAATAATAACTAAAGCAATATGTATGGATTTTATAGCAATATCATTATTAATATCTTCAAAAATAGATAATAGTACGCTCTTCAGTTTTACAGATAATGGAAGAGAATTAATTAATATGTAATCTTTACATAACATATTTTCTATAGTCTTATTTGTAATAACTTCATTTAAATTATGATTAATTGATTTTTCAGATTGTCCCAGTACTACATCTTTAATGGAATAATCGATTGATTTTATGTAGTTGTATATATAAGATATTTTTAATAATCTTTTGTTAATAGTATATGTTCGGTTATAACCACTTTTGCGTTTCTGGGAATTCTTATTGGCTACCTTTTTAATGTTTTTATTCAATGATATATTTGTTGCGCTTTTTTTTATTTTACTATCATCCACATTACTTGAAAAATTGTTTTCTAATTCCATTTTATTCGATTCTCCTAGGGTTTCTTGTATTGCCAATAATCGATCATTTCTAATAATTATCGATTCACCTAGAATATAGTTATTACTAAAACATTTACAAAATATACTCTTGAAAGAACAAAAAAAATATAAATACATAGAATAGATAGCTACAAATTAAACATAACCGATGTTATGTATATATAACATCTGAAGAAATACACAATATTCATATATTGATATAATACCTCAGGTATAGAACACATATATATCCAAGTTAAAACGATAAATGTAATGATTTTAATAAAAAGTATAATCCTAATTTTTCTTCTCATTTTGGATTATTTAACATTATCATAAAACTGATTTCTTTTAGATATTTATATATTATATACATGAAAAAATATATCCGTTCATAATATATTTTCTTTTTGTGCCCTTCACTAGTTAGTATTACATTTAAAAATGATTAAATATTTTACTCTGTTATAAAAGAATGATAATATATATGATATAGAATGATAAGGGAACATACATGACATTAATATATTACATATATCAATTTTAATTAACATTAATTAATAAAAATATATTGATATTTTGTAATAATTTTAATATACTCAAGATAATATAAAGACTTAATGAAAATTAAAATTTAACATAGAAAAAAATAATCTATTGTATAATAATAAAATATTTTGCTTTAATTATTTTATTAATTATCATGCACATTATATTGTCAAATAGGTGTAATTATGTTTTAATTCATTACATCATTACGCTTTTTCTATGTGTAAAAAATAAGCTAATTATACAACACTTCACAGATTTATATAATTCAAAAAAATAAAACACCATGCATTTAATTACAAACATTGCTGTAGGAATATGTTATATCTACAACATTATTTTATGTGCTCTTCTAAATTCTTATTTTTATATTTAATATGTTATTCATTCTACAAATTACACATATTAATCTATATATATCTACTACAGCTAAACAAAATGTATATGCCAACACATCGAAATAATATTCAAATAATACACGAATTCGTAAATAACTATATGTATAATATTCAGCGAAATAAAATATATAATGTAAAATATTCTATTTAACTTACACATTGAAATTTTTATTTAGTATTAACATATAAAATAATTTTGCGTAATAAACTTACTTTGAAACTTTTTTACGTTTAAGGCTTAGTCCTCTTGATTTAGACTGATTTATTTATTGCTCTTTTCCTATTAATAATTTAAACAGTGCTTTTATATGTTTATTTTATATCATTCATCAAATTTATATGAACTAATTTTATATCATATAACATAATAAAAAATAAATCATTTAATATAATTTAACAATTAATATGAACATGTATTTCAATGAATTCTACAATTATAATTGAACTTATATATATTTCTTTTCCATATACATTTATATATTAGACATAGTCATAATTAATAATAAAAACTTATACTATAGGCATTGAAAGAATCTATTTTACATAGATATATATAAATTAATAAAAAATATTTCATAGAATTTGGATATTAAAACACTATTTTATATATTATTATTGTTTTATCATACATTATTTCTAATATTTAAAACTTTTGATAAAATATGAATTATATTACAGTTTTACAAAATTAATTTTAGAATATACCTAATTTACTTTGTATTGTGGGTTATTCAAAAATAAATTTACATATAGATTTTGATATACATATACTTTGCTGTACCAAATAAATCATGATATTGCTCACTCAACATAGTACATGAAATATTTTGAAGCAAATAGATAGTAATTACATATATATCACATTCTATAAATGACAAGGATTAATGATTCAACAATATATTTTTTTTTTCTCGTCTATAATAAGTACAAACTCTATTTCTAAATTCTTATATATTCATTTCAAGTAAATAATAAGCAATCTATAAAAAATAATATTTATTGACTTGTTTTTTATATAAATATTTTTCAAACGATGTTGTTGAAAAAAAATTTTATAAATATATTTTCATTATTAACAAAAACTAGAATTAATATATTTTATTTTTTTACTTTTAAAATACAAAGAAATTAATTCATTCTTCATAAAAAAATATAAGAGAATGTTTTTAATTAATTCAATAAATATCCATATAAGAATGCCATAAAATAGAAAAAAAATTACGATACATAATTGAAAATTTTAAATGATATTGTACAGTTACATAATGTAAATTTTAATTAGAACACAAATAATTTTCTAAGAACAATATACAAAAAAGTTGATGTATAGGTTTATTAATACTGTTATATATAAGATAAATATAATATTTTCCTCAAATTTTAAATATAGAAAATCATACAGTAAGCAATTTATATTTATTTATAATAAACACAAAACTTTTAAATAGACTCAAAAATGATAGCAATAATTGCTCACTCAAATAACTTATATGAATACATGCGCTTCAGTGTTATAAAAAAAAATTACAAACAATTATTATATCATTTTAAAAATGTAAATAAATCATGAATTTATTTATATTCATTTTCTAATATGTATATAATATATACTGCACAATTAGTGTATATTTATGCAACAAATTCATTAAAATTATCTAAATATAAAATGGTGTACATTTATCATTTTCTGCATTTTCATTTTTTCTTACTTTACAAATTAATCCATAAGATAAATAATAGCTAATGCTAATATAGCAATAAATGCAACACAAGCTCCGTAATACAAAAACACTAAAAAATTATAATGAGTTTTTGAAAAATAATCTGTTATAAGTAATGTGGGAAATATGGATAAAAATATACCAAATGAAAAAAATGAGAAAAAAAATTCAAAATTATGTATAAAACGATTTCTTCTTCTTCTCGCTTTATACAATTCTATGCGTTGCTTGATATTTTTTATGTTTTTATATTCTGCTATAATTCTTTCTTTACTCCTTAAATTAGAATTCTTTAACAATGATTTCATAACTAATTTATTTTTTTTAGAACTTTTATTAACACTATTACTTTTATTGGTAGTTTTTTCCAGTTGATTAAATGATGAATTATGATTATTTTCAATTCTTAAATTTGTATTTCCGCTTTGGTAACAATTATGTTCATCCATTTGTGGATTTTTTAATTCCTTTTCCATTCCATTCTTTGCCAGTATCCGTTGATTTTTTATTCCAAATTTCCCATTTAGATAGTATGATTTACTCAATATTTTACCAATTGAAGACTCCACAAAAAAAAAAAAAATTAAATAAAAATAATGTTAACATGGATTCAATAAATTGTAATATAGCAGAATTGCATACAAATTTATTAGGAATAATAACATATACAAGTAAACATACCAATTCAATAATGCTATAAATCCATGTTAACATAAGAAATGCACGTATTTTAACAAAAGTGCGCATATTCTTCGTTTCCTTCATTATGAAAATCAATAACTAATGCATTTATGACATATAAAAGTGTTTTAAATATATTTTTATAATTTTATATTATAATGTCTTTTCTTTATAATAAAAATATTTTATTCAAATTTTCAAACGATATATTATTATAAAATGAATGTAAATCTAAATGGTATGGAAATTTCTCAAGAATGTTTATTAGATTATACACGTAAATAATTGTAGGAAAAAATGGCATTGCCAAAATAATCTTACTTTTATATTCTTCAATAATATATAGAATAATTTATTTTTATGTTATAAATGTAAAATCATGTACAATATAACATAATGTTGTATAAATGATATATAATGCAAATATCTGAGCATAAATAGAATAATTATATTTAAGAAAACAAAATTTTTGGTTTAATAATCTTATTAATGTATAAGATATAAGTTTACACAATATATATTTCTCGATGTTTCTATTAATTTTTCGAAACCTTCTTGGCAATAAATAAATCAAAAATAATAATCCAAATTTTTCTTGTATAAATAATAGTGTTTCCTATGTTGATATAATGATAACAATATTTTCCTATATTGCATGAACGATAAATTAAAAACAACACTATTACAAATATTTTATAAGGTCTATTTTTTATTCCTTTAATATTAATTCATAATTTATACTTCATTTCTATGTAATATCCCTTTTATTTAGGAAGGTATATGTATTGTTATATATAAATAGGTTATTGTAAAAAATTATTAATTATATTTTTTTTTTATTATCAATTTCTTATATATTTTTAAAATGGATTCTACAAAAGGAAAAATGACATAATGTATTAAATTGCTGTAATAATTTTAATTCATATTCAGTTATTTATTTATTATTACAAAGGAAATAGTTGTGACATGCACTATAATATTATACATATTTATGCTATATAAAAATGCTAAAAAAAGTTTTGTAATTTCTTATTTAAATAAAATATATACTATGGCATTTTAATTTGAATGAATAATAATTCTTTTTGCATGTTATATGTTTATATAATAAATAAAAAATAATCATTCAATTTAAATAATATTTTTTAAATATAAAAAAAATATTACATAATATATATATTTATATTAACAACACACTTCCCTATAAGCCATATATGCTCTTTTGTATTTTTCACATAAAAACGTAAATGTATAATATTATTTATATTTACAACCTTTTAGTAAAAAAATAATATGCATTTAATTATTTCTATTCCGATTTTGTTTTAAGCATTTTTAATATTCTTTTATCTATAAATTAATTCATATATTCATATTGTGAATTCGTATACAAATTTATTACTCATTTAAATGTTGTTTAATTTTAACAATTCTTATAAAACCCCTGTATAAATTTCATTCTGTAAAAGCACATATTTAAATACATATAGAAGTAATATTAAAAAAAAATGAAAAGTACCTTATAGTTAAGTAAAGCGTTTGAATATATAGATTGATATAAAAAAGAAAAAATATATGCAAATTCCTATTATATATTATATAATTTCTCATTTCTTCATTAATTATAGAAAAAAATGTGAATAATATATTTTTTCCATTATTGCAACATAAATATAAGTTAATCACTAAAGTATTTTTTAATAGTACCATTTATAATGTTGTGGAAAAAATTACACGTTTTTCTATAAAATAGGATATATCAAGTGCTATTTATATAAAAATATATATATAATATTGATAAGATAAATTAAACGTTCATATTCATGCTAAATGTATATATAATCTATTGATAATTCTAAAATAGTAAGGAAAAACATACTACGTGTGCTATTAAAAATAACATAATGTAAAGATATTTATTGACAGAAAAAGGTTAATACATATGATGTACCTTTTATATATATGAAGATTAATTATTAAATATCCTTTAAGGTTTATTTAGTAGATCTCTATTCTTTAATCATTCTAAAGATTTTTTTTTCGTACTAAAAATTGGTTCTCAATAAAGAGAAAAATATTTAGAATTATATAAAACATAATTTAGAATACTATATCCATTATCAACATGAGGTAAAATATTGTTATTTTTACGATTTCTATGAAAAATTTTTATTTCCTTTCACATCAAAATCTACATAAATCCGTAATCTATTTTTACATATGTTTACTTCTAATTGCATATATAAATAAAAATCATTTTTTTTCTAATATTTTTTCCCTTTTTACGTACATTATAAATTTAATATATGTTAATAACTGAAAAACATGATTAAAAACCATTATATATGCTATATATTATGGAAAAATATTATTACTTATGTCATGAAGTATGCGTGATTATACATATATATGTCAATATTTATGGTCATATATTCATTTTAATTATAGATTAATTAGGGTACATGAGATCTAATATGTATCCATGAAGGTCTATTTTAAAAAAAAAAAAATTATGTAACGTATATAAAAAAAAAAAATGCATGCAATATATAATATAAAATACGGATAAGGATATTAGGAGAACATAATTATTTAAATGTATATATGTGTCCTAATTATTACTGTTTATGTAAAGCCTTTTCAAATAATAATTTATGTAAAATATCAATGTATTTATACTGTGTTATCCAATTAATATGATTTATAATATTCTATGCTTCTTTAATCTCTGTATGTAATATATGAATAAATTTTAAAATGGGTAATTATAAAAATATCTATTGCAGAAAAAAAAAAATAAAATAAATATACCCTACTACATCTCACAAAAAAATTTAAATGTAGATAAAATAAGAAATTATACATGTCAGTAGAATAAATAAATATACATTTTTCTTTGAAACAGTAATAGTAATATTATGATAACAAATGTTTTAATTTTGGAATATAAATCTCATATTATTATACTTGTGAGATATTCATGAATTGTATACTATATAAACAATAAAAAATATATTTTATACATATAAAAACCAATAATATTGTTGTAATTTAATAGGGTATTTAATTTTTAACGCATAAAGAATTGTAACATCCTGTAAAAGTATTCATTAACAACCATAATTATTGATTTAAGCATGTGCTCTATAGTTTTATTTCTATATTTTGTTGCATCATACTTTTACATTATAATATAATTTATATAGTTCAATTACAATCTAATTCATTTATTTAGTTAATAAATATGTACAATATTAATTATTTTTTTAAAGAAATATTATTGAATACATTTATTTTGTTCAGAATTTATACACATAAATTTAACTAAATTTAGTTTGAATTCCCTTATGTATATATAGTATTTCAGTATAAATTTACTAATTTATATTAAAATTTTCAATTCAATTATTTTACATTAAGAAATGTTATACATATGTATTTGAAAAGTATATTAATAAATAATTATGTATTATTAATAATTATCTTATAATGTGTATTTAATATACTTTCTTTTAATGTTATAAATACATAAATCATGATAAACCATTCACTACTTAATAAATTATACAACTAATAAATAACACCATGGCAGCATTATTTCAGTTTGTCTTTTTCACTAAAATTCATATAATATTATTTTTTATATGGATATACCATTGCCACAATGATGATGTAAAATAATATAATTACAGTTGTCTTATTTTTTTTAACAGATATTTTTTAGCCTTAAACATATTTACAAAGTATAGTAAAATATAATATTTTAGATAATATATATTATTATTTTTCCATTTTATAAGCCTCACATTAAATCAATAGACAACTTTAAAAGCCCTGATACATCATTAACTTTAAGGAGAAATCGATTATTATGGAAAATTAATATTAAAAAAAAAAATACAAACGAAGAATTAAACGAGGGCCAAAACGTTGATATGAACACCATGGATTTAAATAACAATATAAAAATGCAGAATATTATGTATAGTGATCAAGATCATATTAAATCATTAAAAGAAAATAAAAAGAAAGAAAAATTTGCAAAAAAAGAATTAAAAAAATCATTAATTCGTAAAATGAAATCCCAGAAAGTTTATACAAGAAAAAGACCTAAATTATATAATATTTTTGCATTAATAGACTTCTATATTGAAAAAAAAATATTTTATAGAATGTGTAAGATACACAACTTGATTAAAGGCAGGAATATAAATAAAAAAACAAATGGAATTCATCAATACAAAAACATCATAATTATATTTTCATTTCCTCTGATAATTTTTGCCTCAGGAGCTATTTTTTTTCCTTTAAAGTATTACTTATTTAGCAGTGAAACATATTTACCCTATGGCACCTTGGCTTCTTCCGTGGTGTCATTATTGATACTCATATATATTTTACGAAAAATTTTAATATGTCGTAATTTGCTTAAATCCGAAGAAAAAAATAATATAATTGAAGGTATTTATTCTTTATAAAATTATATGAATAATTTATAGCCTGCTATAATTGTTTATATAACATCATATTTTTAATCACATTTTGACACATGACAAATTTCTGTAAAATTATATATAATTCTGAAAATTTACAAAAATAATTAAAATGAAATAATACATATTCGTATAATTAAGAACACTTCATACTATCATACAATTGCTTGTATGTGTTACAATTATTTAAGGATAATTATATATGTTTTTATAAATCTATTATATTTTATAGAAATTATTACCGTTGCACAAGTGAATATATGCATGACGTTATTTGATCCATTAGTTCCAAAAATATATGTGTTCAATTATTTAAAACTGTAAGACAATTATTTGTCATCCTATTTATCTGATAACATAATGTAAATCTAATATAATTATTTTAGGATCGTGTTTTTTATCTATACGTATATTTGTTAATAATGATCTACTTAACTCGTATAATTTGAGATCTGTTTCATTTCATCTAAGAATAACAAACAATAAAAACTTAATATGTTTACTTTTAAGTAAAAATATATCTAATTTGTCATACAATGATGAGTAATAAATTGACATTTATGATTTCAATCATTTAACATAAAAATAAATGTAAAAAAAAAATATTTATCAATGCTATTAACTATAAATATTTTTAAGGATGAATGCATATATTAATGTATTTTAAAATATATAATTAAGTTATAAATCACATTATACATAGAAATTTCTTCTGAATTACTGCAATAAGGTAGAAAGTGGTCATAAAAATATATATTAATAAAGTTCTAAATATAACTGTTGTTCGTATAAGTGTTCTTCATAAAATGATTAAAGTAAAAATAATTTACATGAAAACATCATCAAATAAAAAAAATAAATAATCTAAAACACCACTATAAGACATTCAATTATTAATCATATGTTCACCAAATATGAATAATTATTTTACATTTTTGAATTATAGCTATATATTTTGGTAGATGCCATATGGACGTTGCTTACGTAACTAATACTATTACATATGGTTTAATATATTACCTTTTAAATGGAATATATATCATATTATTATTCTATATCATAAACATATATAAACGCGGAATCAATGTAATTTTAATGGTAAATTATGTTTTCACAAGTTATTATTTCACGCTATATAACTCATAGATTCCTGAGACAGAAATAAAGATATACGTAATACAAAATGTGCCAAATAAGAGTGAAACATAGGTTTATCTGTTTATATATTAGTTAGAGTAAATTTTAACTAATTCAGAAAGATAATACAATGTTCTCATCATCTTGTAGGATATTATGCAAAATAATCTAAAAAACTAATTTGAGCATATTTCAAAGAAATTATTATTTATATTGAATGACAAACAATGTGCAAATTTTCACTTGAGAAAAATAAAATATATAAATAATTAAAAATTTTCAGATAATGTCTTATGTTAATATTATCGCATAAATCGTTATGTAATGTAACTATCAGTTTAAATATTATTTCATGAAGACATATTTTTTATAATTTTTCTATATATTATAGAATACTATACACAAGATATGTATCAGGAAATTATATTTATATATAATTCATTATTTAAATAATGGAACATAATTAACAAAAATAACATATTTTTATGTATTGTCTATTTATTCAATATAATAATATATGGTTTTATATCATTATTAATATACACAAAATTATTTATAATATATTTAAATGGTTTAAAGTGAAAATAACTATATATAATATATTATATGTGTTGTGATTTTGTAAATTACTAATATATATAGCATGAATAATAAAAAATACATAAATTTTTCTTATATCTTTTACATTGAAATATGAATTAGGAACATATGCTAATTAACTATCTGATGAATAAATAACTTTTTTTAAAATATTTTAATAAAGAAATTCTCAATTGTAAGGTATAATGTGTATAAGTTATTATATAAATAATATATATAATACTATATTATAATTAAACTTAAGTTAGTGAAATCAATTTTATATAAATTTTTATAATATATATCATAATGCAATTATCCCTAAGATATTTATATTAACTAAATAAACTGTTAAGCTAAAAACCTCATCACTAAATTATCAAAAACTAGAAAAATATTATTCATAATACTATATAAGGAAAAAGTAAAAAAATTTTCATTTTAAATATTCATATTAATTTATACGTAGTATATATTCTTCTATTTCATGCTATGTACTAGATCTAAAATATTAAAGATATAATTTTAACTAATAAAATTTCGTCAAAAAAAAATGTATGAAAACATTATAAAATATATTTTATTTTCAAAATGTGAATCCCCTCAATATTTTATAAATACATACATTCTAAATTTTTATTATTTATTGAATATTCTATTACTATTTTACTAAAAAGTTACATATATATAATGTAAGTTAAATATTTAGAAGAATAATATCTCAATATAGGTAATGTATATAATATATATAGTTAGTTGTAATATTATATAAACACACATGCAAAGAGTATTATAATACATCTTCATAATTATCCTTCTATCCTAAGACTTACGTTCAAAGTATATATATACACATACATATTTATGCTTAAATATAACATATAGTCATATACTTATATTAAATGTTATATAATATTGTATAATTTATATGATTATATATAAAATTTAAGTATATTTCATGTAAAATAATTCAATTTATTTTAATAAGATTTTATTATTTTTAATATAAGATCAGGGGAATTTCAAAATCCACAACAATTAAGGATGTTTTTTCTAATATTATATATTATCTGAAATCAAGTTTTGTGTAGTTCTAAAAAAAATACAATAATACCTATAAACTGATGTAATTATTAATAGAATTCAGAATTATACATGTTTTTTTTTGAAGAAAATTAGTAAAAATATTTAATTATTTTGTAACATGATACTTTTTATTTTATATTTTATCACACGATATTATTTACTATGTTATTCTAATTAATATACTTATGCTTTTATTTTTAGTAAGTATTTATTAATATATATTACATGTAACACTGTACTACTACTATATTTTTGGTAGAAAAATGATTATAGAGAATGCCAATAGCATTTTTTTTTACTCCTGTAATTACATATTAGAAGAATACAAATATCCTGTCACGTGAATCATTATGCTAATGAATGGTTATATCATACTAAATGTATTTCTTTATTCAATTAGTTAAGACGCACCATAATATAACATTAAAAAATATGGGAACAAATATTGTGCGTATAAGTTATTATAATATATATTACAATGGTATAATATTTTTGTATTTCTTTTTACAAAAATTCATGGGAAATTTTTTTTGCTGAATAATATTTTCTCATATTTTTATTCTTTTTTCATCAGTATGGATTGGTAAAAAGCTTTGAAATCTATAATGAAATTATAGAAAAAGAAAGAGATAAATCCGATACTTTGTTGAGTGATCACTGTGAAGGTGATAATGTAAAAGATATAATAGATGTTATATCTAGATATGACGAAATATGTTTCAAAGTTATTACATATTTACATGAAATAAGATCTATTTTTAAAGAAAACTATGAAAAACATGGTTGCATGTAATTGTATTACTGGTTATACCATTATTATAAGGGAAAAAAAGAAAATATAAATGTCAAAAGTATTTATAACACTTGGATTCAGTTCTATATATATAAAGAAGACCCTGTATGTAATGGTTATGAGGAAACTAATATTCCTAATGAAGATTTGGAAAAACTCAAGGATATATATGATATTAAAACGTATCTTAAAAATAAAGAAAATAATTGTGCTCCCTTAAAAGAATGTGCACATAAATATATGGAATACTCGGACTATTGTAAATCAAATAAGTATACTGATTTTTGTAAAGAATTAGAAGAAATAAGAAACCGATATAATTATAAATTGAAGGCTTTAAGTTGTCATAATTTTGAATATCACACCTTACACTCTTTTCAAAAAAAAAATATAAAAATTTTTACTTTAATTCCATTGGTAGTAATATTAGTGATGTCCATTTTTTTACTTATTCTATATAAGGTTAGTCATAATATAATTTATATATTCTTATCCTATAAAATAAATATTCTAGATTATTATAAAATAAATAATGCATAGTAAAAATAGTGTATTATTATTGTATATATATTTTTTAATTTAAATTAGTTCACAACATATGGATCACATTTGTGCAATAAAATGATTAGAAAAATAAAATTGTATAATAATATGGATAATGGAAGAAACATGTTTCAGCATTCAAAAATATCCAAGAATATATGAAGAGAGTGGAAATATAATATATTATATAATTATGATTATAGTTGACATTAATTATGTAGATAATATGAATGTATAATTTAAATAAACACAGATATATATAAAACAGTTATATCCAATATAATTCTCTCTATAATTCACATAATGATGAAATAATTGTTGTTTTATAAAAAAATGCAGAAAATCAATAATTTGTGTACTTAACACAATAATTATCCAAATAAATTATACCAAAGATCAAAAATAGAGTTTACTATAGTTTTATATATTGAACAAATATATTACCAATAATTATCATACTTATTTGTTTTCTCATAATACATGCAGCATGGGTAAAAAAACATTACGATATAGAATAGTATACAATAATTCTATTAATAATACCCCATATTGGATAATACAGTAAGTTATGACAAATTTAGAAAATTTTTCTAATTACTAAACACAATTAAAGCAAATGTTTCTATATATATCATAATATCATTGAATACAATAATTTTACTATTTTAGTCCACGTATTAATAATTTTTTTAAGCAAATATATTACATTATAATTCTTATAATTAAATAATCTCATATAGGTTATACTTACATATTAAAATCATTAACACAAATGTTTTAATAGTATATCTATGTGCATAAATGTGATATATTCTTTATTTTGTTCACTTTTTTTTGTTTTATATAA